CTGTTCTCAGTAAATCACAACTTTCATGTTTTCCTGGAATACGATAAGGATCTAAGTGTTAGGTGGAAAAAAAGAGATGTTTGGTGGCTTCTTTAAAAGTGTGGTGAAAAGTGCTGATGAAGTTCTTTTTCCTGCAGTTAAGGAGGTGGATGACTTCTTGGAGCAAGAGAACTTTCTTATTTACTATTCCCACAGGATCAAGGATTCCTGTACTAAAGCAGACAGAATGACCAGATCTCATACAAATGTTGCTGATGATTATATTCACACTGCAGCCAGCTTGCATAGCCTGGCTTTAGGTAAACCCACAATCATCAAAAAATACCTATTGAAGTTGCTGAACAATTTGAACACCTTAGGAAAGTAGAGGGTGGAGTCTCATCAGATGAAGATTTAAAGTTGACAGAGCTTCTCCAATATTACATGCTTATAGAGGCTGTGAAGGGTCTCTTTTACAGAGGCACCAAAGGTTTCATCGACTATGAGAACTCAAACAAAGCTCTGGATAAGGCCCAGTTAAAAAGCAAAGATGTCAAGTTGAATGAGGAACACCAGCAGAATTGCTATGAGAAATTAGAACAGCTTTCTGAATCTGCAAAAGAAGAGCTTATAAATTTCAAACAGAAGACAGTGGCAGCATTTAGAAAGAACCTAATTGAGGTGTCTGAACTGAAAATAAAGCATGCTGGAAACTATGTCTCCTCTTGCAAAGCTGCATTGAGTTGTTCAAGAACAACTAATCTACCTTTTCTCTGAAAGACACAAATGTGAAAACTGCATCACTTAAATCAGTACCATAAAGTACGATTAGCTATGACTTTAAAATTATGTGAATAAATATTCTGATTTCTAAAAATCTTAACACTTAACCATGTTGGTTTAAAAATATATATTTTTATTTTTTTAAATATTTATTCTTAAGTTTTAGGTGGACACATTATCTTTATTTTACATGTATGCGGTGCTGAGGATCGAACCCTGTGCCCCATTCATGCTAGGCAAGCACTCTACCACTGAACCACAACCCCAGCCCTTAATTTTTTTAATATTTATTTTTGATTTGTAGTCAGACACAATCTCTTTATTTTATTTATTTATTCTTATGTGGTGCTGAGGAGAGATCCCAGGGCCTCACACATGCTGGGCAAGCACTCTACCACTGATCCACAATCCCAGCCCCTAAAAACATTTTTTGCATGTTACTTGGACATAAGTAATCTTTTCCTTATGCATTTAATACCTCAAAATGGGAAGAATCTAAATACTGGATTCTCATGTAGTTTGTCTTCCGTCACTTAAGAAAAGGTGTAGAAGACATGTGCCTTCTGGAAATGAGTAGACACAGCACCAGGCCCATGTCTGTCTCCCTAGTTCATGTGCCCATGTCCCCACAGACTGATTAGGTCAGAGAGGTTCCAGTTCCACAAATAAGAGCAGGTACTTGTTACGGCTAGCAGACATTCCATTCCTTCATTAGACGTTTCTTTTTTATTTTCTCCTTGTTTCTCTCACGGTTCTTGAGTCACCTCAAGTTTTGTATAATAACAAAGGGAAGAAGTACACAATAAAATAATACAGCACACTATAAAAACATATGGACTGGCATAACTCACCAAAATAAAAAAAAATATGATGCCTTCAGAATCTCCAGAGCTCCACTCAGCATTTTTTCTCTATTGTTTTGGCTGTAAGGGAGCAGCAAATTACCCTTTACCTTAGAGGGGATACCTCAACAGGCCTCATATCTCCGACACTTAGCAGTGTTCTAAACTTTTTTAGCAGGAAGATCTGAATTTTCATCAGAATTATTTCCTACCTTCTCACATGGAACTATCTTAAAATGTATGAAGTAGTATCTTTTTACTAGGTCCAATCAACAGAATGGACCAGCATAACATCATATGGAAGGGAAAGGAGATCAAGATTTCTGCAAACTAGTGAAAACTAAGGACTAGAGAGTTGATATACCCTTGAGGAAGGACAGAGAATGTGTGTTTATGGCCTTGCTAGAAAACAGCAAACTCTTTCTGGTGGACCTAATTGACAGGAAATGGATAAAAATAAATTTTTCAAATCAATAACTGCATACCATGTGCCAAGGATGTGTCAAGCAATGAAACCAAATCTGGTATAGTAGCTGCAATTGAAGATAATACCTAGTTAAACTTAGAATAATTCACTGTAATTTTCCAAGATCCTTCTGTTTTTTTCCAATTTATTTATTTATTTATATATGTCAGCAAAATTCATTACAATTCTTATTACACTTATAGAGCTCAATTTTTCATATCTCTGGTTATATATAAAGGATCCATTTGTTTTGTGCACAGGGTAAACAGGAAAGTTGAATGAGGATATGGAAATCGCCTTCCTTACATCTCTCAAGTCCTTAATGGTGGCACTACTCTCCAGTCCCTTCAGGAATGTGGTACTGTTTTTGGCTTGTGACTTTTTTCTGGAAAGGGACAGTTCTACTGTATGACACTTACTATTTTGCATGCACAAAAGTTAACTCAAAGTGGATCAAGGAGCTAGATATCAAATCAGAGACTCTGCGTCTGATAGAAGAAAAAGTTGGCGCCGATCTACATATTGTAGGGTCGGGCTCCAAATTCCTTAATAGGACACCCATAGCACAAGAGTTAATAACAAAAATCAACAAATGGGACTTACTTAAACTGAAAAGTTTTCTCTCAGCAAGAGAAACAATAAAAGAGGTAAATAGGGAGCCTACATCATGGGAACAAATTTTTACTCCTCACACTTCAGATAGAGCCCTAATATCCAGAGTATACAAAGAACTCAAAAAATTAAACAATAAGAAAACAAATAACCCAATCAACAAATGGGCCAAGGACCTGAACAGACACTTCTCAGAGGAGGACATACAATCAATCAACAAGTACATGAAAAAATGCTCACCATCTCTAGCAGTCAGAGAAATGCAAATCAAAACCACCCTAAGATACCATCTCACTCCAGTAAGATTGGCAGCCATTATGAAGTCAAACAACAACAAGTGCTGGAGAGGATGTGGGGAAAAGGGTACTCTTGTACATTGCTGGTGGGACTGCAAACTGGTGCGGCCAATCTGGAAAGCAGTATGGAGATTCCTGGGAAAGCTGGGAATGGAACCACCATTTGACCCAGCTATTGCCCTTCTTGGACTTTTCCCTGAAGACCTTAAAAGAGCGTACTACAGGGATACTGCTACATCGATGTTCATAGCAGCACAATTCACAATTGCTAGGCTGTGGAACCAACCCAGATGCCCTTCAATAGATGAATGGATTAAAAAAATGTGGCATTTATACACCATGGAGTATTACGCAGCACTAAAAATGACAAAATCATAGAATTTGCAGGGAAATGGATGGCACTAGAGCAGATTATGCTTAGTGAAGCTAGCCAATCCCTAAAAAACAAATACCAAATGTCTTCTTTGATATAATGAGAGCAACTAAGAACAGAGCAAGGAGGAAGAGCAGGAAGAAAAGATTAACATTAAACAGATACATGAGGTGGGATGGAAAGGGAGAGAAAAGGGAAATTGCATGGTAATGGAGGGAGACCCTCATTGTTATACAAAATTACATATAAGAGGTTGTGAGGGGAATGGGAAAATAAACAAGGAGAGATATGAATTACAGTGGATGGGGTAGAGAGAGAAGATGGGAGGGGAGGGAGGGGGGATAGTAGAGGATAGGAAAGGTAGCAGAATACAACAGTTACTAATAGGGCATTATGTAAAAATGTGGATGTGTAACCCATGTGATTCTGCAATCTGTATTTGGGGTAAAATTGGGAGTTCATAACCAACTTGAATCTAATGTATGAAATATGATATGTCAAGAGCTTTATAATGTTTTGAACAACCAATAAAAAAAAAAAAGACTGGTCTGACACTTCTAACTCATTCACTGTGAGCCATTTTTCAAGTCATGTTTCAGCCAACCATATATACTTTGAAAGCCTTTTCTAAGTCCCCAAGCTCTAAAATTAACTGCACTTAGTAAACTCATATCAATAAACTCAGCCAGATCCAACTGTGTGTTCCCCTCCTTGTTATCCCATCTCTAATATTTGCTTCACATGTAAACTTCAATTTTCTTGTATAAACTGGAAAACTCAAATTGTTATTATGGAGTATGGTTCACCTCTTCATGGGTCACATGTTGCACTTAACCTTGGTGCCTTCTGGTTTCAGACTCTAATTATAGGATTAGAACCATGAGGAATGAAGGGTTAGGTCCTGAGTAGAGGATCACTCCTTTGCCATACAACTGGCTGGTGTGGGGATGAAGCTATTATTTTTCCTTAGGTAATGCAAGGTTAACTCCTCAGATGATTTTGAAGAAGTTGCTTCTACTGGCAAAGACTATCATTGGAATTTAGGGATTCATTTTCTCTAAGTTCTTCAGTCTTTACTTATCTTCCAAATTCAACTGATTTCTTCTAAATGAATGTCCTTACATTAAGAGTAGACATCCTGTGAAGACGGTAATTCAATGTGAGTTGTAATTAAATCACCTAAAGGATAAGATTCTGGGTTTGATTTTTAATGAAAATAAACTCTGCAGCTATGGGAGATAAAAATCTCTCTCAGGACAGAAAAGCTTTCAGATAGATTTGTGTGGCCCTCAGCCCTGGGCCCAACTTTTTCTCTCCCCACTTTGTTCAGCAACATTCGAAGCAATGTTTTTATCTGCATTAATTTAGAACAGAATATTTGCAAGTACCATATATGTAATCACCCAGATTCTTGCTTTTTGTGCTTGATTAGGAATTTAGAAAGGGGATTTTTTTATACCTCTTTATTCAGATCATGTCATGGACTATCATGCTCTCTTTACTACTGAAAAGAGAATCATTAATGTTTTTAAGTCAATATATTAGAGAGTCAGTTTTCAAAAACATAGAAGCAATTCAGAAAATTCAGTCAAGATTTGTTCTTCAAGAACTACTCTCTAGAGAAATAGAACTCGTGGTACAAACATACATATGTGAATGTAATATATATTATAACCAAGCAACTCACACAATCATGAAAGCCGCAAGTCCAAAATATACAGAGCTAACAACTCAGTATGTCCAAAGACCACAAGACTGCCTGCAAGAGTCCCATTTCCAAGGCCATCAGGGAGTGCTGTAGTGCAGTTCAGTGGCAGAGAACTTGCTTAGCATGCACAAGATCTACTGTTGATGCCCAGCTCTGTAAAAAGAAAAAAAAATGGTGGTGGGAGGGGAGTGAAATAGAAGAATACTCTTCTAATCAGATAAGGTTTAGCCTTTTGTTGTATTTAGGCCATTAACTAATTAGATAAGGTCCAATACAAACCATTTTACTCAGTCTAAATGTTAATCACATCCAAAAATGTCCTAATGGAAATATATAAAATAATGTTTGACCAAATATTTGGGGATGCCATGACCCAGTCAAGTTGATATAAAAAATAGACCATCATAAGGAGCGAGAATCAAAGTTGTGCATTCTTAACATCTCACTCTCTAGCAAGCCCCATGTTCATCACATCCAGTAATGGCCACCTGTCCATAATGTTTTGCCTGCTGTTTTTCTCTTTCCCATTATCATTCCTGCTTCAGTAGCATGTATCCCTCGCCTGGGCTCCTATAGCAGCCTTGTAATTTCCCTCCCATTCTCCACAATGGTTTCTCCAGCCCATTTGGTGGTCTTCCAGCATACTATCCTTTAAAGGAAGCTCCAAATATGCCATTTTGCTACACAAAACACTTTGAAAGTTACCTATTGGCTATCAGATTACTCATATGCTCCTTGAAACAGGATTAGAAAAGTTACCACAGTATTATGGACATTATATTATTTAGGGGTCCAAATAAATTTTGTTCATCAATATATTTTCCGTTAGAAATTCCATGAGACCTTTTTTTTTAAAAACACAGGAACACATACTACTTATTCCATCATTTCATTGATCATCAAAATAATGGCATCATCACATATAATATAGCTCTGAAGAACCCAGGGCACATTCCTGAGAGAATGAGTGTGAAAAGAAAAATGCCAACTTATTATTATGAACATTACTTTGACCTTGTGGGACTCCTGATAGGGTTTCAATTATCACCAGTATTTCAAAAGCATACTTGGGAAAGTGCTGCTCTACATTGAAATCAAACAAGAATGGTCTCCATTAACCAAATAGATCTCCACCTTCCCATCCCCTTAACTTTATTCCTTTGTCTTAATCCTTTCTGACAATCTATATGCTATCTTAGAAGATACATTCTCTGAATGAAATCATGTAAGTTGCAGATAAATGGATGAAACTTGAGATCATATATTAAGTAAATTTAGCCTAAATCAGAATGTCAAGTTTTATGTTTTCTCTTATATATGAAAGTTAGAAAAAATGCAAAAAAGGGGAAAAAGTAGTGAGGGAATTATTAGTCAATGTTTTCTAATTGTGACCAAAATAACTGAAAAGAACAACGTAGAGGAGAGAAAGTTATTTTGGCTCAAGTTTTATAGGTTTATTCCACGTCTAAATTGCTTTGGGCCCCAAATGAGGTAGGTATCATGGAGAAAAGGTGTGGTGGAAGACCACAGCTACCTTCATTGCATTCAGAAGGAAAAGAGAGGAAAAGCTGAAAGGGTCACAGGAAAAATGAACCCTTTCAGGGCATGCCCTAGTGATCCACCAACCATGATACACCTGCCTATAGTTACCACCAAGTCAGTCCATTCAGACTAGGATGAACCAATTAGGTTACAGCTCTCATAATACAATCATTTTATCTTGAATATTCTTGCATTAGCACAGGAGCTTTTGAGGGACAACTCATGTCCAAATCATAACATTGTATCCCTGGTCCCCAAAAGCTCACATCTCTCTCAAAACACACACACAAAAATGAGTTTATTCACTCTCCAAGAGTCTCATAGTCTTAACAATTTACCATTGTTCCAAAAGTCCATGTCCAAAGTCTTCTCTGAGACTCAAGGAAAACTCTTGACTGTGAGTCATTGTAAAGATCAAAAACAAATTTATTGTTAGTTCACGATAAGTGGGGACTAGGTACTTTCGATTAGGCAGAGGGGAGTAAAGAGGGGTGAGGGTATGGGGGTAGGAATGTGCATATATGATTATACAATCAGTGTGATTCTACAACATGTACCATGAGGAAGTTACACTCCATTTATATATGATGTGTCCAAAATACATTCTACTGTCATGTATAACTAATTAGAACAAATTTAAAAATTACATAACCTTAAAAAGATAAATAAATAAATAGTAAAAAGGTTAAATATATCCAATGTACAGAAGCAAAGAGTAAATCTTCCATTCCAAAATGGACAAATACAGACAGAGACAAAAGTGATGGGACAACGAAAACACGACCAAAACTCAACCAAACAAATAAGCCTTATATCTCCACCTCTGGCATCTGGGAAACTTGGTGGTAAGATGTGATTTCCAAAAGATTTGGACAGCCCTGCCTCTTTAGTCTTCCTAGTTGCAGTGCACACATGTTCTCAATAGTCTGAGTCTCTGCACAGTCAGAAGATCTTTTCAGTGGTAAGTTCATATTACAGGCATCTCTTAATTCCTGGGATCTTCATTTCAGCTTTGTTGTTATGATCACAACTTCATGCATCACCCCTTCATGGTCAACCAATAGGGATTTTGATCCTGCTACACTTTGCCTGGCCTCCCAGTCATTCCATTGAAATCTTGGTGGAAGCTTCCATGGCCCTGACCTTGAGCATTCTGTATTTCAGCAGAAGAGACACCCTGTAGATGATGTTAATGTCTGCTACCAGTTGGGGAAGTACCAGGGGCCCCTGTAATCATGACAGCAGTATCTTAGGCCCTGAATGGCTGAGCCGTGTGAAACAATTTCCTAGGCCCCCTGGTGGAAGCAGGGTGCCACCAAGATCTTTTCTCAAAGGGTTTTTTTCCTCCACATTATCCAGTAGGCAATGTGTGCTGTCTTGCAAATTCCTGAGATGTCCTCAGCCATCTTTCCTATTGTGTCTGTACAAAGTGCTTAACATCTCTGTAGTGGTCATAATCTCCTTTAAAAATCACATTTTTCTTGAGCACAGATTTATATGCACTTGTCTAGTCAAACTGAAGTTTCTAAAATTCTTCAGATATGATTTCTGGCCCCAAATTTTCACAGTAAACCTGGCTAAAAGCTGGGGACAATATCCACACCACTGATTGAATTCTTTGCTGCCTTGAAATTTCCTCAAGAAGATGTCTATTGTCTTTATATAGAGTCTCACCTGAAGTCTCAGAACATGGGCAGGATGTGACAACTTCTTTGACACAATGTAACATGAATGGACTCTAGTCAAATGTCCAAGGGAATCCTTATTTCCCTCTGAAACCTCGTGAGCAGTTTTTATCTCTGCATTCAGAGCTCCCACCCGAATTTCCCAGTAAGCTCCATTTACAGCATTCTAAAACTTTTCTAGCTTGCAGCTCCAGATTTTTAAAAATTCTCCCCCAAACAAGCTCCAAAGGATTCTGGATCATATAGTCAGGTTAGCCACTGCTTCTTAGTACCAATTTTCATGTTAACAAATTTTGCATTTTTCTGTCAAAAAGACCTTAAAAGCGGGAAAGTTTACTTTTGTTCACAGTTCCATAGATTTAATCCATGTTCAGCTGAGTCCATTGCTCTGGGCCCAAAGTGAGGCAGAACATTATGGCAGGAGAATTTCATGGAGACCACTGCTACATTCATGGCAGCTAGGAATGAGAGATAGGAAAGGGGAAAAGGGTCACAGGGAAGATAAAACTATATTTCTAGGGCACATCCCTACTGACCCACCTTCTCCAGCCAGGTCCCACCTGCCTACAGTTGCCACCCTGTCCATTCAAACTTGGGTGAACTGGTCAAGTTACTACTCCTGCAATCCAATTCTTTTACTTCTGAATATTCCTGCATGAATATAGGAGCTTTGGGGGCACACCTCATATCTAACTCATAACAGGGCAAATGTCATGAAAATAGAAGGGAGACCTGTAGAGTACAGGAATGGTCCATAGGGAGTTTTGAAAGGAGTGAAAGGGGAAGTACTGAAAAATGACAATGACCAAATCAAATTGTTACATTGCATACATGTATAACCATGTCATACAAATCCCATTATTAGGTAGAATTTTAATATAGCCATAAAAATATGGGAAAAGAGAAAAATAAATTAAAAAATGAGTCCTAACCCCAAGATTATCTTAACTAATAAAATGCTGAAGTGCTTACCAACTTGAAAAAATAAATAAAATATGTCTTCTTAGAAGGAAAACAATGTCATTTCCTTTGTGCAAGTTTTCAAGATGAATCACTGTGTGTGTATGTGTGTGTGTGTGTGTGTGTGTGTACACACACATGTGCACATGCACGTCTTTCCTCAGAATTTTAAAAAGCTTCCTTCATAGTGCTTATATATTCCTCCTTCTGTTATCGCTCTTTATGCATTTATCTTGTTCCTTTCTGGTTCATATATACCGTGTTTACCTTTCCAAAACCAGTTCCCCTTTGGTTATCACCACCTTGATTTTGCTTTGAGGAAACACCCCTCCCTAAATGTACACAATTTCATGGTATTATCAATTTACAATCCCACCTTTCCTGGCCAAAGTGTGAACACATGACCCAAAGCAGTCCAGCCAGATTCTCTGCTCTAGAATTTCAATTATGAGCAGAGACAAAACGTATTTGGTGCTCACTCAATTTGACAGAAGTGATTTGAAGAGAGATTGTCCCATTAGATACAGTTTCCTAAATTCCTCATTTTCTGTCCTGGTTCTTTTCTCCATTTTGAGAACTATACCGTATCCTTCCTATTAAGTATTTTTGTTCCTTATTCAACCATGATCATTTCCTGTTTCTTACAGTCAAGGAATTCTAATAACTATTTGCTTCAATACACATATGCAATATAAACATAAACCCACACAAATGCAAGTTCCATGACAGCAGGGCACATGTGATCTCAGCAATTTTCTAAACTTCTGCCAACACCAACCCACCACACACACACACACATACCACATAACCTCACAAAGAAGTCAATAATAACTTGAAAAAGTTAATTCTATGAAATATTTATTATCACAAGTTTCCTAATTTAATGACATCATCTCTTTGCTAGCGATGGCAAATGAAAATTACTTAGAACCCCAAACTCTACAAAATCTGAGGCTTTTAGACATC